CCGGTATGTATATTCAACACTATACACAAAAATGTAAATATACTCTCAATGATCTGTTAAGTGATAAATATTGACGTGATTTCAATTTTCAATTGCATGCCCTCAATAAGCAGATTGTAAAATTTGTTCAAAGTTTTCACACATGTTCTCAATTTTTGAGAGACATAGATTATATGACACAAATGAAATGGTTTAATGCGCATCTCCCTAGGTGTGTAGATTTTATACCTTAGTCAGTATACAGAAACAGATAAGGACAATGGTCGCTCGTCTTAGAAAAATCAGAAATCTCCTTATGTACATATACCTCACACGCGGAAGTATTTACTTTCAAAACCTTAAAATCAATCATAATTTTGAATACACATATTTGTAAATTTCCAACTAAGAACAATAGAATATAAGCATGGAAAACGAGAAATTAAATTTTTTTATCAATCCATGTTTGAGAATAATCATGCATAATTTTTAAAAATATTAAATTCAATGAAACTTTTGATTCACCATTTCATCACTATATACATATATTTATTTATTTGTTATTTAATTATCGATGGGACCTAGGTAAGCAATGGTAACTAACTGTCTATACTCTTATGTATGGCAAAATATAATTACACAGTATGTGAAGAGCTAATCGCGGCCATAATTCGCTGGAGCAATCATGGAGCATGTCATGGGCTCACATCAAAAATCATTTTTCATTCCTTTGCAGACTTTCATCATCGTGAAACATACCAAAACTATTGGAACATGACTAAAACGTAGTAAGATCCTGAAATTATGACAATCAATTCAACAACTTTTTGCTCAACTTCTAAACTTGTGTATCGACGTCAAGTGAAAACAAGAGAAATCGAATTGAAGTCACTAAGTCTTCAATATTTGGATCACTTTATGGCAGTGGCTCTGACACACGTGGCAGTTGTATCGTTCGAGCCGTGAAGGCTCGAACGATTGTGACTTTGGATCGCCCGCTCGAGGCGGGACTCTAGAAAGTGAGAACCAATCTAAATCCGCTGCGCGGATCGGACGGTCAGAAATGGGTGGACGGTGATGTGGACAGGATCTAGGATATCTATTTCGACGATTCTCGTCAACAGGCAGCAAAAGACAAACGTACAAGTTTTAGGAAAAGCGCAGAAAAGTGCATCATCACCATTTGAATCTGATCTGACGTGGCGAGGATGCTCAGCGCGGGAGTATATGTACAGTACGTGAGTTCGCAGTCTATGCTGTTCATGTGATGCATTCGTTCGTAGAAATAAGCTCGACGACAGGCTGCCTTTGATATTAGAACGCGTTCACTGGGTGGAACTAATTCTCATCTCTAAATGTTTGTATGTCCTTTGAGTGTATGGATTGCTGACAATATGGAGTCAGAGTATCTGCAGTTCGGAATCCACAAGTTGACAAACGTACATCATATGAACTATCGAATAATTAGCTTCAATATTTCATGAAATATAACCCCCAAGAACAATTATGTCCTACTCAGAACAATGTTAAAAATTGAATGCAAATTCTTGGAAAGATGGTAATTAATGAATATATAAGAAAAGAAGATGTTTTAGAACTATTATTGATTTCTTCCCATGTTAAGGTATACACAATTACTAAGGATATAAAATATAAAATGATTTGGAAAGGATGCATTAGGTTTTTACAAAACATAATTCTATTATCGTGTATAAATATTTGTATCTTCTAGATGAAATCCAGTATTTTCTCAATGATTTTTTATAGTATTCTAATAACAGTTAACAGATAACCTGAAATGATTAACTCGTATGTGTGAACTATGCAGTTTCATGTGTGCATATTTTTCAATCATCATAAATCATGAAACTCGGATTAGGGTAACTTGCGCATAAAAATTAAACAAATGAAAAAAATGTGATTAATTACACATCCATATAAACAATAGATACACACATTTTTTATAAACTGGACAAGCTTCTGAAGATATTGTATATCTTAGATGTTTTGATTATCTCTATATAAGAATAAAAAATTCAAGAAATAAATAATTTCCAAATTTTCATATGTTGAACAACGAGACATTTAAATTTTTAATCTACTCGATATCAAATTACGTATACATTATATAATATTTCATATCATCTTCATTTTCAATCTACTTGTGATTTTAAAATACACAGCGAATGTATTTTCTGTTTTAATAAATATATATACTGATCAACATACTATTGCTCCATCCATCACATTTCATAAACAACATTGCTTCCAAATAAGCAAGTTGGGAATACCACATTCAATTGTGTATAATTTATTTTCATTGTGTAACTATAACTATTCAATATTGTCAACAAAGATAATAATGAGAATACAATGCGATGACTAAGTTAATAAATGCTGCTAAAATAGTAATAATTTAATTATAAAAAATGATTAGCTGACCTCAGGGTTTTTCGTTTAAAACACTTATTTTATTAAACTTACAAAAATTACTGAATTATTCAGTTTCAAGCAATTTCCTTGAATATTGTATAGATATTTTTATCTTAAAAAAATTATTTAAATTGTGATCCAAAATAAAACGTCATACTTAATCATAATGTTAATATCGTTATATATTCAACACATTTATTAAAAAATAATTATAATGTTTTTTAGTTCTTAAGTAAATATTTGAACATTTGCTATGTATATTTGTATATGGATAAGTTCTATGTAGTATGTATACGTTTGTTAATGAAACATTTTTAGTATAAGACTAATAAGATTGAAATCAACGATCATATAACAAATTCTCATGAATATGAGGTTCCAATTTCGGCAGCTGTAATTTCATTTTCTCCCACATACTGAAACAGAAGCTTCTGCATGTTTGTGTACATTACAACTTGTCATCGGCAAATTATCATGCTATATGAGATCATGTTATTTACAACAATAGGAAGAGGAACGCATGAAAAATAAATAAACTGGAAAGATCTCGTCAAGTCAAGGGTTTACATTTTCGATATCAATGTTAAAGACATGTTGCTTATATTACATTATTGTAAAGATTTGAAAATATTTTACAAGAAGCATTGAGTGATAAAACCCAAAAAAACTTGAAACTATCCACTTTGTTAGATCGATGAATAAAATATGTGATACATAGTACTTATCAAAAATATCATAATTGTATTCTATATCAAATCTGTTTGATTATTTGAGTAAAAAAACATATACACAATTTCATAATTGTTACATGGATAGCATAAACAAAAAATTGTATAGACATGCAAAAGCATATTGCATAAAAAAATTAAGCAATAAAGTCAAGAGAGTATGACATATATATGGCTCAATGACAAACTATACTAGTGAAGTAAAGAATTATAATACTCTATGTAGTTAATCTGAAAAATTGAAAGATGTTCCACCATTCATTGAAAACATTGTCTAATCGTATAGTCAAGTTTTGATTCCTATGAAGAAATACAAATCATCATGTGATTATAGATCATAATAATCAATCAAAGGATTTATATATGTATTCATTGTAATATTATAAGAAATGAATCAACTTTCTCTATGTGAAATATACATTCTCACTTTCAAACACAAACAATACACACGTAATGATTTTATGTATATTATTATTATTTTTTAATAAAAAAATAAACAATTTTGATATCATAACAATTGTATGACCATAAAACTATGTAGACACAGGATCTATATAATATGAAATCAAGTTCACGTGCGATTATTTGAGATGTACGTACACCATAGTGAAATATCATGCATCTAAATATAAAAATTTATGGATATCATATATATTCAAATAAGACACATGTTAGGAGTCTCAAAGCTCTAATGCATAGTTAAACTAGACAAACATGAAATGCCGAGTAGCATCATAAACTAGATCGCTGAAATGCTAATATCAGCTTTATCAAACGATATTATACTGATATTGCAAAAGATGGAAATGAATTCCAGACACATTAAATTCTACGCAATGTAATTGCAAAAGAGAAGAATTTCAAGCTTATGGAGAATGGAATGCTCGATGGTAACTAAATTCAAGTGATTAAATGCCAATGTTGTGTAAAACGTTTCGAAAGTGTAGAATTGTATTATGTATGCTATTGCAATCTTCTGAAGGTATGTTTCGTTTTGAGTGGTACTTAGAGAAGAACTCTTACTCTATAATAATGTGTCTCTAAATGTTCTAGGGGTCTCTTCTGTCTCTTACTCTCAGTGTTCCAATCGTCTAATATCTAGTGAAATGGAGTACGGAATGCTTTGACTAGCAGATTTACACGTGACTGTCAACTCTCACCAGTCTTACCTGGGTCAAGCAAGGGGCAGAAAGAACTGCTTGCGAGATCTGCTAGAAGGATAAGAAGCAAACTTGAACCATGCACGTCCGTGCGTACCATCCATCCATCGAGGCAGTGACCTTGTGAACTGAAGTTTCATGCAAAATCATACATAACAATGTACTTCCAGCCGGGAATCCAACACCTCTTGGTCGAGGTTTCTGTGCTTCCCATCTGCGCTGGTCAATGCTCGAGAGGAGTCCTGTCGTGGGATAGAGCTCGTGCCTTGTTATTCCAGATCGGCTGTGGACTGGATAGCTCCTAACATCCGACGTCGCCAAGTTGCGGATGTTCGTTATTCTTGGGACAAGAGGATCGACATCCAAAGCGATCAAAGGAGTTATTGTTCTTCTGGCGAGGCGCGGCTGTTCTTCTACGAAAGTTGCGGAGAAGAATGACATGTCCGCCAGCCGTGAGTGTGTAATGGTGACACACCCCTCGTGGCTTGCCCGGGCCCGTGGTCAATGAGCGGCCATTGGCGCCACCCGGCCCGCCAAACCCTTCATCTACTCAAAGTCGTATAGTGGTGGCCCCTGCGGTTCACAGCTGGGAAGGGGAAGAGGGAAACCGGACGGCTCAGATGAAATCGGGCACCCTTCGATCCGTGTGCTCCTCTGACAGCCCATCCCATTGGCCCGCTTTCTCGAGCGACCTTTATAAGGGTTTAGGTTTTCCGTTTCCCATACAACATCGTCACACTCGTTCTTTGTCTGCACTCGTTTGCTCCCCAACGATCTAAGCTTCATTCTCCCCTTCTCATCTTCGCAGCTCAGTGTCGATCGATTTCGCGCTCGACGGAGGAGTGGATTGTTTTACTCGAGCGCCGAATCGGAGAGCTTCTGCTGTGTACTGATCTGTTGAGGGAGAGTTCGAGCTCGAGAAATGGCGCCTAAGGCAGCGGTCGATGCCGAGAACAAGGCAGGTAAGGGGAAGGGCGAGAAGAAGCCAAGAGGCAGGCCGAAGGCTGAGAAGAAGCCCGCCAAGGAGGGAGGGGCTAAGGAGGGAGGAGCGAAGAAGAAGAAGGCGAAGAGAGGAACTGAGACGTACAAGATTTACATCTACAAGGTCTTGAAGCAGGTCCACCCCGAGTTCGGTATCTCGTCGAAGGCTATGGGTATCATGAACTCTTTCATCAATGATATCTTCGAGAAGCTAGCGCAAGAGGCCGCGAGGTTAGCACGGTACAATAAGAAGCCGACTATTGCCTCCCGTGAGATCCAAACTGCCGTCAGGCTGATTTTACCCGGAGAGCTGGCCAAGCATGCTGTATCGGAGGGCACGAAGGCTGTGACAAAGTTCACCAGTGCCTGATTCAGCCGAGATTACACTCGCAGGCTGTGGTGATGGTGGTGGTCTTTTGTGCTTCCATCATCAGTTTGAGCAGCGAGCTTTTGTATCATAGTCGGAAAGACAAATCAGTTAGGGTTAGAAGTTAGATTACTCACAGGGTGGCAGAATTCCTCGGAGTGCGAAATTTTACGTCTACGTGCTTATCTCAAGCCTGGAGGACCTCGTCGTGCATCCACAATCGACTTTTGTCAGGAATGTAGAGTCCCTCGGGACACTGTAATTAGTTGTAGTGCACGGTTTCAACGCTCTGCTTCGCTGAGCTTTACATAAAGAAATTCTTTAAAAGCATGGCTACCACTCGTTCATTGTCTGTTTTGTTACCGACAACTTTGCCCTCTGATCTACTTCTATTGTGCGGATGATCTTCGATCTTAGCAGAGCAAGCTATGACATAGAACGATGCTATTCAAGTGAGGAAAACCAAATGCCCCATGAACTTTCCAGGAGACTTCGGCGAAATGATATCCTGTAGAAGCTTTAGTTTCATTCCTATACGTTGAGCCGAGACTATCAAACTACACTAGAAACGAAATCGAGTGTGACCTAGTCGGCGTACTTTGTAGTATAGACAAAGTGAGGCAGAAAGCAATTAGGAAAGGAAGATACATGCAACGAAATATGGGCATGGTTGTTCGCAGAAACGGACATACTGAAACTGCAAGTGATAGTCTCCGACAAATGCTCAAGATATTGATAATCTCCGACAAGTGCTCGAGAAAGTAGATGAGCATATTGTGACCGCAAATTAGGATTTAAGATTTGACCTTTAATTTCCCAATATGTGTGCAATTGTACATAGAAACAAGCATGTCGTTGGATGTGTTCCAGTCTACAACCTCTGTAAAATGTGTATCCTCAATTCTTTTTTGAAGAAATAACATACCAGCTCAGCATAGTGCCCTCAATATTCTGTTGCGATGCTGATGATGGCAACGGATTAGAGTTAATTGAGATTAGTCCTCTGAAACGAACAGTACCGTCTCAAGATGATTTTCACGAGAGACGATTTCAATCCTCAGAATATATATTTGAAACATATATTTTAGTGAAATCCACATCAGAATCACTATTAATTGTCGCATAGATAGTAGGAACGCTGTTCTGTTGAACCAGGGTTACGTATGGAGGTGAATGCTGACCGCCATACGAGTTACTGAAACCATCAAAGCTCCAGGTCTGGGGATATCACTGCCAAGGTGCAAGAGGAAGTCGAAGGCAAATTCTGGAAATCCTAGAAAATGCCGGACTTCGCAGGAAACTTGGAGGGAAAAAGAATAGCTGGGAGCCACGGAAGTACTGGCTGGCTGGCTGCACAGACGGTGATTTAAGGGCATGCTGCAGAAGCAGCCACCACCCAGCACGAGACAGAAGTCGAGGCCAGAGCAGGAGTTTACAGAGCAGAGGTCAAGATTGTAAACTGCACTGGCCAAAGGTTTCTGGTTCTCTGAAAAGTTTTAAACTGACACTTCAGTGTAAATGTTATGCCGAAACGTGAACACATTTTGCGAAAAATTGGAAACGAAAAATAAGAATATTCAGTGTAAATGATATGCCGAAACGTGAACACAATTTGTGAAAAATTGGAGAAGAAAAATAAGAATACTCTGCTTGACGCCACAGCACTGATTCTTCCGTAACAGGAAGAAGGTATATTCATTACTACAATTCACTGTCATCAACCGAACTTAGTACTAAAAGAAGATACATCAAATGTTACTCAAAGTTTTTCAAATGGCTCAGTTGAAAAACGTAGATTAATGCGAAAATTGATGAGCTTCTAGGGATCTTGATGTATATGCTCATTAGCCAGTCTAATATCGTAGTGAAGTCATGCAACTGGTGGTTGTTGCATATATGTAGATTTTATAATCATACTCTTCAAGCTCTTTGTTGAGATAACGAGCTGATACATCATGGCCACTGCTCTAAGTGTCGAAAAAGTTGACACAACTTACCGACAGGATAGATTTCTAGAGGAGCTTTCAGTTGTGAATCGGCGACAACTGAACCGTCTACTCAGTGGAGGATAGAAGCTGGGTTCAACCTAGGGGTTCAGTTCACACAACGACAGATCTGATGCATAGAATATGCCTTGTCTGCATGATTCTAACCACAATGGTGAATAAATACAGCTGGAAATTTGTACAAGCCCAGGAGCCGTGCAGAAAATTCATCACAACTCAAATCCTGGAATTACTCATAGTCCAAAATCTTTTCTCGGAAAAATTGGTTGCTTTCGACGAATTGACCTCACTACGATTCCTCGAGTAGTGAAAACGTGGGATTTTAATTCTTACAATAGGATGCAAAGTACAGATTTTCTCTGCTCTGGACCATTTTCGCGGGCAACGTCGCGGCTGAAGACTTGCATTTGAATTTAAACCTTTCAAATTTGAACCTGGTCCACGGCAGTCAGTCACGTCAAACGCAAAATCGGAATGCTTGAATCCGGATGGTACGACGAGCCAAAGAAAAAGGTCATGCATCCGTACGATTTGCACGGACCCGGACGAGTTGGTCAATGCGCGGCAGCTTTTTCAACATCGAAATCAACGGTCCGAACGGTGACCGGTCGAAATCTTGGATCTGTGGTCGACGCTATCGTCGTGAAATTTGGATTCATTTGAAGTATTTCATTTCGTCCCCTAGGCGGCGCGCATGTTTCTCAACGGTTCCAAGTCAATTGCATCTTCAGTAGCTCGAAATTCGAACAATTTCTACCCGCGGGATTTGCAATTTGAATCGGGGGTTGCAGATTCTTGAATACGCTGTGGGGCTTCAAAAATGGCGTCCCATGCGACCATTTCGAAATTCAAATCATCGGATTTTCGGGCACTTCCCGCTCCGGAGGGTTTTGATTTCATAAGCTCAGGTCGTGATTAGTCTCGACTAGAAGAAAGGGCACAGAATCCTCAAAATGTGAAGGTTTACGACTGCGCATCATCGATGCAAGACTGCGGAGGATCGACGGGAATGAAATGCGTCGATGTCGGAGAGAGGTCGATTCGGCGAAGTGTGGTGTGATGATTCTACCCGAGGAGTTCGGCGATGAGATTCGAGTTTTTCTTCGATTCCTGCGGAGGAGATTTTCAATTGTTTTTTTGGAAGATTTATGTGTCCTCAGAAATGTGTACGTACACAACATCACATGACTAGTTTGCCATTCGGTCGATTCACGAAGGCGGATAGACCCACGCACCACTTTCAATCTTGTGGGGAGGGTTTTCCTCTTCGATTCTTTGAGGTTGATCCTGAGAGGGAGTGTTTCGCGCCAATCGTAAGGGCGAAATCTCAGCGGCGTGTCCCGTTTTGTTACCTTGCCTCTGACATTCCCCGGCAATGCGAATTGTGATATGGACGAAACATGAGGCTGTGTTATTCTGCCATTCGTATGTTCAATCATTGCATTTATCGAAACTTTTCGAAGTTTTCTCCCATTTTAAAGGGCAATTTTCGGTCTCGAGTTTTTGTTTACAGGCACTACATCAAATTGGATTCACTGACTGCACTCATTATTTACAAGACGGTTTCCCCCACAGTCCTCAGCGTGAGACTCGAACTTAGGCGTAGATCGAAGCCGACCAGCTGCCTCACCAATTGAGCTGGGATTCATCGGTGAAACGAGTGATAAGATCTTCGAATCTGCGTCAAAACGTCTTCTTTGCAAAGGAAGGAATTATTGCTAGATTAGTCATTGGAGAATATCTTGAGCTCGGAGGGTTTGAATCCCAGCAAGCACCTCTCTTCTTGAATCTCGGTGAAGGGGACGGCCCAAGATGAATACTTCAAGTATTCCCAATTGAGTTCGCACTGCCTATGTTCCACCGACTCGCGAACAATTGAGCATTCCGGGGCAGCGAGTTCTGAACAAGGCGGGAACTCCGAGCCGTATTCGGTTCGAGAAGAGAACGTAATGCAGATTAAAGAAGGAAATCAATGAAGGCTCCGTGTAAGTGAGTCCTCGGTTCAGGCGAGCCTCTCAAAGCAGCGACGCTTGCGCAGGAAGCAAAGAAGAAACTAATCTTTTCGTTTGATTGGCAAAGACTCGCGTATCTCGACATGAAAGGGCGATCAGAGAGTGCAGGAAATTCGAGACCGGCATCGACCTGTCGCGGGCAAGAAGTTGATTCTGAATTCTCTAAGTGGATTAATGAAGCGCGTGAAGAATAGAGAGGAAAAAATGGGCATGAGAGTTCCAGCGCGTAGGGTCCGATCGGCTCATCCTGGGGGAGGTTCGTAATCGTTCGGTCAAAGACCCAAGGACACAGAATCCGCCCCGTCAGAATGTCCTCTAGTGGTTTACCAGGCAGGACGGGAACTTTACATTCCAGATCTGAACGAGTGGGGTTGATTTCAGCGAGGCATACAATTCTTCTCAACTCGATCGCAGATCGGGCGTGTCACGAGGCGCCTTCCTGGTTAACCTCAGAGGCAACACATCACGGAGGACTCCGCAACGCCTCTTGGGCGCGCCAAAGCCCGTCCCCACGCTCAGCTTTCATGCCGGCTTTCAGGACTCTCAGGCAGAGTTCTATCGGCTCGACTCTCTATATACTCCATAGATCTTGCAGCTTTCCTCGATTATGGTTTAAATCTCCATCCTAGCGTCAACTAAATCTTTCTTCGCCATTCTGTCGTCGTTCTCCGGATTCTTTTACTTCTCCCGCTCCCCTGATTCGACGGATGGGCATTTGGGTGGTAAAATGTGGTCCTGGATGCTTCGAAAGCTTTCAACAAATTCGATCTTCACTCGAAGATGTTGCAAAAATAGCATAATCCCCTTCTGATGATCAGAGAGGGAATATCAACAGCCCTTCTGATGATCGGAAGGGCTGTTGATTCCTGGCCGTGCCTCTTCTTTCATCTCTGTTCTCCTGCTCCTGATTTCTTGCTTCTCGGTCGGAAAAGCCACTGAAAGATGTTCTGGACATTGGGAATCTTCTGAGCTTCTTCCGATCGACGATAGACGTCATCTACCGTCCCGCCGATCAGAAGTGACGACCCGAAACCCTCACCCAGCTTCCGCAGCGCATGATCTCATCGTTCGTATCTATTTCCCAAATCTTTTTAGTTCTCCTGATTTTCCTGGTTCTCGTGGTTCTCGCCAGCACAGACTGGACAGTCGGTTGGATACCGAACGTATACTCGGGGCCATCGCGGGCGTTTTGATTGTTTCCAACTCTGCCCGATCCGTCTGATTGCCTTCCTGGTGATCAGGATCTGAAGGAAGCCTGCGATCGGACTTTTCAGCACATGATTTCAAGGAAAACAATTGCGAGTGAAGCCCGCATGTGTTAACTTCCGTGACAGGTTGAAACATATGCAGGATAGCGTTTCCAGGCCTGCTTCAGCCATATCGGAGACTGGACAGATTCTTTCTGATAGGCAGCAACCGGTTTCCGTTCAATCACGAGAGGAATCAGTTTGTCGTAGTAAATGAGATTAAATCACAAGGGACATCCATCCATTATCCTTCACCGAGTCCTTCAGCGTATTTACTCATTACGATTAACTTAGACTTAAAAATGTAGCTGCTATGTTTATTATTATGGATGTTGTGACATATATTGGAAAGGTCATGTAATGGTTCAGGGGAATAGTCCAATAAGCGGCGAAGGAGGCTTCACTGAGGAGGTTCATCTACGAGAACATTGAAGACAAAAATCATGATCAAATACCTCCGTTAGTGTCTCACATCTTCAGCAGTAACCTAGTTTTGTCTTTGTTTCTTCTGACCAAGAATTTACAGCCTAATAGACAAAAGGGGTTTCAACGCCTCATCCACCATCCTTTCAATTTACATCCTAGCCTCACATGAATGATTCAGTGATTTCGATTTAAAGTTGAGTCCATGGCTTCAATCCGAAGTCGACAATATCCAACTGAAAAGGTTAAATGATTCAACGAAACGTTAAATATAATATTTGTGAAATTTGTGTGGAGTTAGAAGTTTTCTTAAAAATTAATCAAATTATCATTTTTGTGTATATAATCAAATACGATATTATTCTCCCAAACTTGTCATGTCTTTCCATTTTTATTATTTATAGTTGTCGATCTAGAGTTATGAGTTGAAGAGGGTATAGACTCGAGAGATCCCAAGAACCTTAAATTCTTGAGAGTCAAGCATGCAGCATTAGAATAAGCGAGTGTTCGTAAGTGTCGACCTTGATCCTCTACTTAATGGATTGAGCTCGATTGAATTTTGAATATCATGTTTGCCAGTGGTGTAATCACATCTTTATTCACTAGAAGTATTCACGTGATCTAGAGAACAAGTTTCATCTTTCATCGGTTTCAATTGATTTTGTGTTATGCTTTGATTTGAGGTTTTTTTCTCCTAGAGACAAGAGTATCGAGGAGAAGTTGATGTTCTGCAATGGGGAAGAAGATTAGAATTGTCAATTTGTTGGTGGAGTGTTGATTGGTTCTGCAGTTAAAGTGTGGGCTTCTATTTTACTCGAGGTTTTGTGTGGAAACTTGTTTGGGGATTTGTTAGTGTGAAGATTCGGCTCGACATTAGTATGGGTAGTTGGCGAGCGAGAGAGAGTCTCCAACATCATGCCCAATTGTAAGGTTTTGGAACCACGGGTCGAAGGAGACTATGTTAACTTAGGGTTTTGGGTATGACATTGCCGGTTGTGTTGCGACTTGTTTCAAAAATCGTTCGAGTCCGCTTGAGGATTATACTTTCTTGCTGGGTTTTATTATTTTCAAAAAACATCGACGCTTGTGCATATAATGTCCCAAAAGATAGCCGCGATGTACAGATGATTGTTGTGGTCAATGAGGTCTTTGCTCTCTTGTTTTAGGAAAAGGTGGTCGGTAGCTCAAACATTCATTTGCAGTGGGCAAGGTTGCATCGAGCAGGTATGGATGTTAGTTAGGGTATAGAAGGGTTCAGAAAATGAGACACGGGGGATGAATTGATTTTTTTTTATGAAACTTGATCGGTTTTGCCTTTAAAGTGGGATAGTAGGTCGCAGGAGGTGAAAGACCAACCTTGCTTGAAATACATATACTGGATATGTGGGCTCGGAAATTGTTGTCACAATATATAGAGAAGACTGCGCAAGAGATGTGATCAATCATATAGTGATCGGGAGGTGGAAAAATAAAAATAAAAATAATTGGTGCAATGGGGGAACCAAAAGTAGGTTTCGCGAAGCTTCAAGGCAAGGGCTTCGGATGTTATATGCAAACAGTATTACATGCAAACATACTTTCAAGCTCCAAGTAGATTTATGAGCATGGTCGTGGAGACAAGCAGTGTACAAATTAGAAAGGTGTGATATGTTCAGAAATTCAGAGGCAGAAGTCTGTAAAGAATGATCAGGAGATGGAGGTAAGCAACTGATAATTCGGAAACGGTTTTGGAGGAGTGGAAGCGAGTACTCTTTCACTCTTGTAACTATATGTGATGTCCGTGCAAAGTTAGTCAGGCAATTGAAGAATGACCCTCACACTCCTGGTGGACATCCCGACATCGGTTCTCCTGCAACTAACACACCAACTCCCAGAGATTATTATATTCAAAACTAGTAGATTTTACAAGTTGTAGAAATTCTTGTGAAGTCCCGAATCTTCAAGTGTCTCAACCCCGTTGATTTGGAACATGGACGGGATGTACGTGGCCATGAAGGGCCCACGATGGTACTCTGGTGCAGTCGGCATCATTGAGTTGGACGACTTCATTAAAGAGTTTAACACATGATGCGGTATAAAATTTTTGCGTAATTCAAAATTGTTCAGACCATTCTTTGCCTGGAAGTGATTGTTTCAGCATTTAGAGAAAACTTTCATGTATGACTACCATGAATTTGGTACAAATTATCCTGCGAAGATTGACGCATGGAGGCGTCATTGGTCTTCAAACTAACTGTCCATTACCCATGATGATGTTGGTACCAGTGGAGTCGTTAATGGTGTTGTTGCTAGTGGAGTTGCGAGTAGCAGCACTGGTGGAAGTACCAGTGAAGGTACTAGGAGCGGTCATAGTGGAGCAGTTGATAGAGATACCAACAGTGGTACTAGCGGATGTACCGCTGGTGCAGCAAGTGGAGACACTAGCAGTGATATTAGTAGCACCGCCATTGGCAGCTTGGATGGAGTTGCTACTGGCATGCCTACCTTTAGCCCGATTGCGAAGTTGTTCAAAATTTTGAGGAAGATTTATCACGAGCTTAAGATTGAAAATGTGAGGAGTCTTCAGGATTTTGAATGGAAGACTGTTGAGAGTCTTTGAGAGGCATACACTTGTATGCAACGTTTGATCTCAGTTATTCATGGTGTGACTGAGGCATAGACTGTCAAGTATTGGTAATGAAATCTGGTTAGAAATTTGCGAAGGAGGGTACGTGATGCTACCCTCATGAGCAATGCGTCATCCATATTAGTCCATGTGTTCGCTCTATCTAAGAAGATTGAGTTTAACATAATAGAGGAGAGGGTGGTGAAGTATTTGTTTACTAAAAACATGGACACTACTCATTTTGTCCAACAGAATAACACACAATCTCGTCCCACTAGTGCTGGCAGTTTTCAAGTTGTGAAATGACATCAGTAATGTTATAGAGAGACGGGTGCGTGGGCACCATTGCCTTCATTTTCTGGTCAGTAGCAGGGACCATCATGTTGGACACGTGGAGTTAGTCATATGAGGAAAGATTGTCCTCAAGAGGACGGAGGACGAGATTGATAGGTAGATCTCAGTCGACATATGTTGTGTGTGATCATTGTGGTCGAACGTATCATCCTCCAAAGCGATGTTTTGACCTTCATCTAGAGTTGAGATCTGGGGATAGAGGTTGTGGCAAAGATGCTCCACGAGGCCGAGGTGATAGAGGTGTTGGTGTCATCAGACGGTCCGTAGTGGATGCTACTCCTACCACTAAGACCGCTATGGCTGCTCGGATTGAGTAGTTGAAGTAGAGGTTTATTGATATGGCTGGTTCTAGGGGAGAAGCTTTCACTTCGCATGAAAGAGAGTATTTCACCTATTTGGCAAGTGAAGTCTAAGTGGAGCCATCGGTTGCAATGACAAGAAGTGATGCTCGTGCTTCAGAGCCACGCGGTGCGACCGTGAAGTTGGACCCTGAGAGGGATGAGGGTGGAAGGCAAGCTAGACTTCCCCAGTCATTTTTGTTGTCAGAGGTGGGCGGTTTTTCATCCATGATTCATACACCACCTAGTGATCATGTAGTGAGGATTGAGACATATAGATCACAGGTTGTGGGCACGAAGACATCTAGTGTAATGATGCGGATGGCTACTTCGATGATGAGATCTTCATTATTTTCAACCATAGAGCTGATGGCCTTTGGGGTTGATTTGGCTTGTGTATTTTGTGTAGCAGCCTCGTTGTGTGAATGTCAATGCTATAAGTGCCGACATATGCGAAGGTATTGTTGTGGAGCAATCTTCAACACCTACATTGAGGGATGAGGCGATTTGGTAGGCGGCAATGGCAAGGATGAAGTTATTACTAGCCCGACCAACCATTGATCGTGAGAATATTATTCTTTGCCGTTCAAAATTTTCTTGATAGCACCGTCATTCTTGGTAGCATTGACCCAGCTCCTTATGGTCATCTTCAATTTTGTCAATATCCTCTTCAGACCAGTGGTTGTTGATGTGGCCGCAAAAACAATCCAATACTTTCTTTATGAAAGTCAGGGTTGGCAATTTGACAATGTCAGCCGACATGACAGATGACGCTTCACTTTCAAGCGGGTTGTTGTTTGCATCACGTTTAGCTTGCACAAACAATACTTCTTCAATGATGGTCAATGACGACAAGCCCATCTCATCTCATGAACGACTGGTTCGCCAAGTACTTCAAACATGTCACGTACCCACGATCCTTGATCATGGATATGATCACGAATGGAATCACGTGCAATCCACTAATCTGCATTAGACACAATGATGTCCGAAGCAACCCCCTCATATGATAAGTCTAGCAATGAGTACACACCGCTTTCGATGCAAACCTTGCCGACCAACTCCTCTATTTCATGACGCTGTTAGAATATAACAATTTTGCGAGACTTCAAAATTTTGAAGATAGTGGAAAGTGTTTCAAACAGGGGCAGCAAACACGCAGCCAAGATCCACCAAGATCGGGATGACGCTTGAATAGATATTTTCTCAAGGATGTGTTGAAGAAAGCGGCGACGGTGTAGAATGATCCATTTCATCAAATTCTTGAACTTCACCCATCGCATTGTGTCTTTCGGGCATTTGACATCATTCATTGCACCAATCAGATTGTGCTGCGATCGCAGATGCACGGAAACGCATGAGCCGCTTTGTAAAACTCGCCAATATCGATATCATTGATGACCATTTCCACCACAAGATCTAGCTGATGAGGCACACATCACACGCGCAGCACAGGATTGATGCATTGAGCCGCGAGCAATGTCACAACACCGCCATTGCGACGAGTCATCGTGTTTTCCCCATCAGAGGCAATTGCAATCAGTTTGTACTTCCAATTTGGGCACAAAACGTCCATAACGGTGTTGATCATCTTGATGTAGTTGACTGCCGTGTGGCGATGAAAGAACAACATCAACACCAAATGAAGGTTCATCAGAACGTCATTGCGGCACACGCGAATTCGCTGATCCAACAATGTCGTGTCTTGGTGCGTTTTATCATTTCCCGCAAGAAAAAAATGTCCACGCCGATGAACTGCAGAGCACATTGAAGAGCAACTACAATGCGACCGCCAAAAGAACGCGAACAAATTTTCCAACCATGTGATCTCTAATGACCATCTACTAAGCATACTTGGTGCGATCGCGGTGGTGCGTGATAATGA